AACTCTGTGACAGTGCGATAGGTTTGTAACGCTTACATAGGAATATATGTTCGTGCACTTTATAATTTTCCTTGCTTTATTTGCCTGCACTCACTGCCAGAAAGCAAGAAGAATTTTACCTGAATAGGAGTTTCACTCTTTGAAATGTGTGTTACTGTTTGTGAGAAAAGTAAATGTGAGTTGAAAGGATTCACGTCAGATCGGGGTCGAAAACTTCAGAATTCGTTTTTATGTACTTATTTGAAGAAAGAAAGGCGGTTATTAAAATCAGCGATTGAAAAGGTGATATAGTGAGGAAAAAAGGGGATTGATTCATCCGACCACATAAAGTTCCGGTTTCCCTTTTTCCTTTTCTTTTTAAATTTAAGTATTACATATGAAATCCTGGCTTTGGTATGCACGAGATGCAATTTCAGGTGAGGCTTGACCTCAAGTACTCATTTGAAAGAAACGTTGATTTCAGTCGCCGCTATTTTATTTAATATTATTAAAAATTAATAAAATTGCACAAAGTCTGCGCAAATGACGTATTCGACTGCAAACACTGTACCGAAACTCCGTCGTTTCGACATGCTCACGCCTATGGACGATGTTGTTTCGGAAAGCATTCATGACGAAACACATTTTTAAAGATGAAGGTATAAAACTGTAAGACTAATTAGTTACTTTCTTGCATTCCAACCACGATATTTTCTTTCCTGCAATTTTAATAACAAAGCACATGCTGAGCACATGACGGAGCACTGACTTCGACTGACTTAATAGCCTCCAATTGTCGATAGACAAAAGGGTTGCGCGGGAACAAAATCTTACCTTGAATAAATCCCACCCGTGACAGTATGGGCTGAATTTATTTGAGAACAATGAATGGTGCGTTTTACTACAGGACCACACAAAAGCAAAAGCAAGATGGGCTTATCTTCAAGCTGTTTGAAACAAGATACAGATACCTGAAAGACCCAAAAATGGCAAAAGATGAAGTGCTTAGTCATTCAATTGGTTAGTGAGGCATTCTGGGGCCGTTAGTGAGGCATTCTGGGGTCGTTAGTGAGGCATTTTTTCGCAGGGACTGTCACGAGCTTTCATTGTTTCCATGCGCTGTTAAATACGTAGCATTCGGGCGTCACGGTAAGGCGACAGACACGCGCCGTTGAATAGAGTAAAGTATGTGCTGTTTGGGTTGAGATCACGAGCTGAAAATCAAAAAGAGATAAAGACAAAATACACGATGTCTTCGAGGATTTGTTTAGGTAGCACGTGACAAGTGCCCTTCAGCTTTAGAATACAAAATTTGGCCACTATTTTCTCTATTGCCATCGCATGCACTCAACTTGGGTTCGACTCTAGAATAAGGCTGTGCGCTATAAACAGATTTGTAGAGGGTGAGGTAACGAGATGGTCCACCGGGAAACAGGCGGGGGCGGCACAATAGTCATAAGGGAGCGCTAAGTACGTTACGTACTTACAAAAGAGGTTGGAATAAGCTGCCACATTCCCAAGGGCCGCAATGCAAAAGTCGGTTCAATATCTTATCATGTCGGAGGTGCCCTATGTGGCATTTGACACATTTCGACTGGCACTAAACTGGGATGTTCATATTGCCACTGACTGTACATTCATGCTTCATTTATATTCCGGTGTTTTGGGAGCTTTTGGTAATGACCGTAGTCCTGAAGTTACATCAACATTTCCCTCAAATCGAGCTTTGTGTGACAGCTTCTGCTGCGCGGTATAACACTATTCCCCTCCTCAACGCATTTCTACAACATTTTCTCCCCGACACGTTAACTTCAGCTATACACGGGCCCTTGAATGATTTCTGCTATTTAGCGCGTACATTGTCCTCGTCTACCCCGAAAAAGGCTGCTTTCAGTGTCAATAACCTTTTTCCTCACTACGCCGTTTCCTCCCCTCTTTAATGGACGCTACCGTCCCTCCTTTGATCAGTTCTTTTTTTTCTTTTTTTATGCGTCGAGACCCTTACGCTTCTGCCAAAAAAATCCTCCATGTACAAAAGGAGTTCAATCGATGCTCCTCCGGCCGCATCGCCAGCTCGACTGGACTCCCGTATCGGATATGGGTTTGTCTGTCCGGCTTCGGCAGTACGTCTGGCCAGCGAGCGAACGCAGCGACGAAAAAACGACGCCTGCTGAGATGGCGCACGTCGTTGCCATGGCGACCCCTCGTGGCTCCCGGATCCGCGTCGCTAACGAGATGTGCGCCTCGCTGAGCTGACGCTCTCCTCCTTTTCACTCAAAATGACGGTGGGATCCCCGAGCTATAGCGCGAGCTTCCGTTCGTGCCGTCTTGGTATTGCTTTGGCAGCTGTATGTACCGTTTCACACTAAGTCAGAGCAGAGCCGACAGTAGAATCCGATTGAGCCATTCACGAAGCGCCGAAGGTGCATCGTCAGGACGCTACCCGTCTCTGTGAAATTGCTATAACTTGCTAAACGACGCACAAGAGAAAGCTTAGGATCGCGATGCATTCACGGCGCGTGATCGGTCTAGCCGTTGGTAGCTTATGCACAGAGACGATGCACTTGCCGCTGCCCTTGACCAATTCCGTCGGTTCGGGCTCCGCCACCTTGCCGTGAGCGGCCGATGGGGTCGTAGCGTCGACTGCTCTCGGACCACCCCAACTTTGATGCGCTCTTAAACGCAACTAGAGAAAAGTCCTGAATCTGTCTGTTACAGTTTTTGCAGGTTACAGACAGAAAGGAGAGTCTTTCTGTAGCGGAACAAACTGGGCCTTGGTCCAGTTTTTACCGCCATTTGGTGATTCACGATGTAGCCTAGAGAACGTCGAGGCAGGTTAAATGGGCCGGGTTTTGAAAACGGTAATTCGTTTTTTACATCATCGAAAATATCAAAATGACCAGCTTCTGACCTCGATTATCTGGAAAAAATAATTGCCATCGGGAAATTTCTATATCTTGTTTCGCCTTAAGTCTGGACGCAGCCGATGCTGCGAGCTGATGGGACCATTCGACCGGTGTCATAAGCGCTATTCACTGCGCCTTCCTTATACATGAATGGTTCAGCAAATATAGAACACATACACAAACACATGACTAACACCTAGCGGATGCGCTTTGGACGATATATCCTGCTGGCGACGCTGAAATGTACTAAGCGTATTTTTGAGGCGCTTCCTAGTATTCGCATAGCCCAAACCAAGAGGCATTCACACGTACATACGGACAACGGACGGCTTCAAACGGCTGGAGCACTGGCAGGGTGCCTTCAGATACGATCGAAGCTCGAGTAGCGCCCCCGACAGAGGTTGTTGTGTCCGCGCTGCACCTCCGCAAAATTTGTGATTCTTATCTGCCCAAGAGTGCCCGCCGTTTGGACGTCGCTGACACTTCCCCCTCCCCTCTACGTTGCTGTTCTTTTTTTTTATTTAAAGAACGTTGTTTTTTTTTTTGCGTGGTAAAAGCCATTACAAAAAAAAAAATAAACTACTGTGTGAACATTGTTTTGAGTGTGATCGGGTATATAATCCTTTAAATCGTCAACTGCAACATATTTTGTATGTGAAGAAAGTGCCGTGTGATTCATGTTATCAGCATGGCGATGCAGGTCCACTACCCTTGAATGTAAGTCCTTACTGTATGAGGTAGAGTCATCTTGACAACATTGCATGTGTAACATTAGAGAATTAAAAGTTCACATGACAGTGTTCGCTCCAGCTATGAGCTATGTGATTAAAAAAGTTCACATGACGGCGTTCATTTTAGCGATAATGTAATGAGTACTGCGCATATGCAATGCACTTGACTGAATCATTAACTGCATTATTTGCTCTACACCCAATTAAAAATCCGCGAGGTTTGGCCAGCAAAGAACCGTTTCTGGATTGTGTAAAATAAAGATAGGAGAGACATGCAGTCCGTCCTAAATTATAGAACTGGCAACTGTAAAAAAATATATATATATAATGGCTTCCAGCTTTCACTGCAACATTAGGACCTGATGAAGAGCGGTCCCCGCTCGGAACGCCGTCCAATAAATACGTCTTAAAGCATTTCCCTCCTTTTTACGATATATATATATATATATATATATATATATATATATATATATATATATATATATAAAAGTAGAAGCCACTGAGGGTCAAACAAACTTGGAAGATTTAATTCAACATGCGTGCCATGCAAGGTCGTGGGTGTGTGGTTGCGTGGAAGGCTAATCGCCGGTCACAGATAGTTAGAATCGTGTGCTTTGGGCGAGCTCGCAGATGATGCCGCCACTGGTCTCGGCATGTTTTGCGTTTGCTGTTTGAATTTTTATTTGATCCTTTTATCTTCGCATTCTACGTATTTTTTGCCTTTTTTGTTTTTTTTTTGCTTCTGCGGTATTTCTCTCGACATTTGAGGTCTCACTTTTCAAGTCCCGCTTGAGGAAGAAGGGTCCCCCTTCGAAACGTCGCGGTTTCTGTATAACTTATACATGTTGAATGAAACCTTCCAAGTTTGTTTGACCCTCGGTGGCCATTACTTTTATACAAATACGCCTACAGCCTACTTAGCCCCAAGATGTCATATGCATACATATATATATATATATATATATATATATATATATATATATATATATATATATATATATATATATATATATATATAAATATTTTTCTATTTTGTTCAGCAGTTCACTAACTTGTCGCGCTCAGCTCATCAAATAATCAGCCGCCTCAGGCGGCCAATTAACCACCACTCGGTGACCCGTAGCCTAGTTCTTGAATACGTATTCCTTCATTCAGGGCTCTGTATATCTTTTATTTATTTATTTATTTATCTACTTATTTATCTATTTATTTACCCTAAAGGCCCAAACGGGCATTACATGGGGGGAAGCGATAGTACAAAATTTAATACGATTGGGTCAAGTGGAAAAAAAAGATGACGATTGCATAGTTGGTATAAACAATGTTAAGCAATAAACGATATAAATATCAAGAACACTGGATGCAAACATGACACAAAGCAGCACTATATAAGTTGGTACATATTACTTAAGGAACTAATGAACATATCAGATGAAGTGATTAATGCGATTTCCCTGGGCAGGCGTTTCCATTCGGAGATTGCAAGAACCAGAGGAGAATTCTTGAACAAGTTAGCGTGGGCAAAGTTGGGTGATACTTTAAAGTGATCTACGCGAGACGAAATGCGATGTGCAGGCTCAATGAATGAGTTCCTAAAGGGAGATGATCCATGATAGAGCTTGCGGAAAAATGACTCGCGAGAAGTACATCGTCTATACTGCAGTTGGGTTAAGTTGAGGTTACGTTTTATGTTAGACACACTGGAAGTACGGGAGAAGTCGCGAGTTATAAATCTTGCAGCTTTATTTTGAAGTCCCTCAATATGGTTGGTTAAGTAAAGCTGATGAGGGTGCCATATGATGGATGCATATTCCAACTGCGACCTGACGAGGGCAGTATGTGCGAGGAGTTTAGTTTCTTTGTTAGCATGAAATAAAGAGCGTTTAAGAAAACCAAGAGTTCTGGAAGCTTTCCGGGTTACATGTTCAATATGAAGGTTCTATGATAAGTTAGCTGTTAGGTGGACGCCGAGGTATTTAATTGACGTAACGTTTTCAATGCGGTCCTCTCCATCTATGTACGCGTGATGAGTGATTTGTAATTTCGTTGTAAAAGTGACAGCTTTAGTGTTGCTAGTGTTTATTTGCATTAACCATGTGGTGCACCATTGCTGGACAATGTCTAGGCCCCGTTGGAGTATGCGAAAATCCAAGGGGTTAGAAATGACCCAATAAATGACGCAATCGTCCGCGAAGATAGTATTGTAGATTGAATGTTAGAGTGAAGGTCATTTATATATATAAAAAAAAAGAAATCTTTTTCTAAAAGAAACTGCGCACATGAAAAGAACTACAGAACAAAACTTTTGTGTTTAGTTCAATAGTGCTGAAAATCACCACTGTCGCTCCGCGGACGCGCTAAAAGTACGTGCATTGAGTCCTTACACTGCTTTTGGCCGGCGTAAAACTGTATTTCGAATTGAGTTTCTACCTCTGAAATCTTTAACAGAGAGCAGAAAATAATGAGCCGTATTAACCATACATGACTGGCACATGCTTAAGCACCGACGACGTCATTGACTAAAATCACGCGGTATTTTATTTACCGACCGTGTTTAGAGCTAAGTCGGCCCGAGCAACTTTGAATGCGACTAACAACTCTTAGTCAAAGGATAGAGCTAGTTTAGCCGGTTTCTAGTGGTGATAAGCGGCTCAGCGCCATGGTCAACTCTGTTCGCCGATAAGCGCTAACCCTAACAAGTCACAGCCTTGGAACGCTGGAAGCACACGTCTAGGAGGACTTGTAGCAGGTTATACAATGGGAATAGACATGTTTAGAGGTCAGATCTGCCGTTAAAACCATTTCAGAATGTCGCTGAACGCCACGACAGCACGTCATTTACGGGCGGGTTCATAATGGTTTACATCGCGAGCAATGAGGTTCTCGTGATGTCTGCATTGCGCTTTCTTATTTTGTTTGTGAACCTCTGTACTGCAAAATCAGGCTCTCAGTATAACTAGAACGTTTTATTTTTTTCTAATTTTCGTTTAGACAGTAATTTTACATAATAAAATTCCCATCCACGCAGTGTTCTTTGAGTACGCGCATCCGTGACCTCTCTTTTAACGTCAACTCCACTTGTTACTCATGAGTCCTGACTATACTCCGTTCACCCATAAGCTGAGACTAGAAGCTCTGCCTTCGGTACTAGCACTCTGGCTTCCGCGGTGCTTTGGTTGCGGGTGCCTACGCGTTCACATTTATGTTAGAGAGGACAGAAAGCTCACGCTGAAGGGTGAACTTCTAGTCTCAGCCCAAAAGGGTACGGAAACGAAATGTTCTTCACTTATTTCTTTGTTTAGATGTGGTCTATGTTGGCTCGGCAGCCCAGAAACACTAGCCTAGACTAATGTTTCTAGACTGGAGGCAGAAAAGTCAAGAAAGCAAATTTAAAACGAAGGAAAAAATTTCAAAATTGCGTATGGTGGCGATCTTCGAAGCTTCGTTGGAATGCCGCGACGTCATGAATTCCTAAGAAGCAGCGCAAGTTCGCAGCAGTATGACTCGCTCGTGGAGTTACTTAGTCCTGCGTGTAACTTGACGAAGAACACTAACGCGTTTATGTCCAGTTCACCTATAAGCTGAGACAACAGCCAAAGCTACAAGCGCGAGCTAGCCCGCGCTTCTGGCTTTGAAACAAGCATTTCAAGGGATGGGCGGTCGTTCCGCAGAAGAACGCTTCAAAGCAGCGACCTCGAGCTCTCGCCCTCGGATATTACTACTAGGCGAGATTGTCACGCGTTGACGCTACCAAGCAGCAAGGCTTGCAATCAGAGCCGTGTATAAAGAGAGTTTGGTCAATGCGAGGCGCAAGCAGAGCCAGGGCGTGCACCAGACTCGGAAAGGGGGCTTGGCAGGCTCTCTTCACCAACCTGAAGCCAAAAAGAATCCCCTAGCGGTGGTAGCGAGAAACAGTTCTGATCAAAGGTACATGTTCATATATGGTTTTAATAAGCGCGTAAGAGTGAGGTGTAGTAACTCTTCGTGATTGAAAATATGGTGCACGTGATGTTTCGACCATGATCATGCAGAAAGATGTAAGAAACGAATGCGCTGCTGAACTCTGTTTTGCTCGGACACAGTGTGACCACTCGGACGGCAAATTCCCGGCCCTCGGCGCTTGGCGTAAGGATTATGTCGATCGTTCCGCTAGTCGCACTCTTCCACCATCATTTTGGATGAGCGTGATTGAAACATCACGTGTACCATACTTTCAGTCACCGAAAGTTACTCCGATGATCTTATCATATTTGTTTTTCAGGACCACCGCCAGGGTATTATTTCTGGCTTCTGATTGGTCACATTTGAATTTCTGAAGACGCCCTGGAACACGCGCAGTCCGCTTTCGGCGAATGGCGCCTCCTCATTTGTCTCCTATACTTCCTAACGAATGGTCAAACTCTCTACATATACGGCTCTGCTCGTAACTACAGCACACTTGACCGTGCATAAACTATTGACGTCACGAGCGCGATACGCATTGTGCTTCTTGCCGTCCGACTTTGAAGCGAGGGGCAGAGAGCTCGCGCTCACTTCATTTCGTCTTCGTACCCCTTTAAGGGGTGAACAGAGTATAGATGATCGCCCACTTGCCTCGGGCTCGTGGATACCGCCGGGCCTAGTCGCGCCTTATTTTCCTTGAACGGACAGTTGGGCTAGTTACAATACTTTCATAAAGAAAACCAACGCTTTGTCCTGCGCATAATTCTGTTCTCTGCGTCCTTGTGTTTCTCGCGCTGTGTTTCGTCATAAACCTTATATGGCGTTCACCCGTATGCTGAGACTGCAGTCAATGCCACAGGCACGAGAGCACGAGGTCGCTGCTTTGAATGGTCCTTCCAAAAAGCGAGGACTCGCGCTAAAAATGCACGTCTCAAAGCTAGCAGCACGGGTTAGCTCGCACTTGTAGTTTTAGCTGCAGTCTCAGCTTAAAGGTGAACGGACTGTAGTCGCTTACTTTTCGTTTAGCTCGTGACTACTTAGACGATCTACCAACTTTGAACAACGCTAGTTAGTTACGCCTGGTGAATACGCTTGAGTATATCGTCCCATCAGAACGTAAATGATAAAGTTAGTTTTATATTGTATATAAAATACTTATTGGTATACGCTGTATTTACCAACATTAAAGGCTGCATTCAAATATATGGCCCAGGAATGGTCATATATCCTTTTTTAAGTGTGTGCCATCAACTGGATCCCACCAACCGATAAGTACTCATGTGTGCTTGAACCTTGCTGGGAGCTCAACGACCAATTGTCGTGTTAGGACGTTGTGGGTTTCTCTCATCAATAAGAAGTAAAGCTACAGGGTTATTTACCTGCTATAACTCTGTCCCTCTAATTTTGTGACCGACTCGCTAGCGATAAAACCAGCCCAAGAACACTTTCCATGTCTCAGCCAAAGAGAAGAATTATTAATCACCCCCTCCCATTCATTCTCTAGCAAAGAAGCAGTAGGCCGACAAATCATATCCAGCACCCGACCCAAACGTACACATTCTAGAATCCAGGCTGCAGAAAGTCGTGAATATCGAAACACGGTACGCGAATACGTTCAGCAGCATATGCGCGCCCACCATGTGAATACGTCCATTTCGCCCAAGCCGTCAACATTTCGACCTCGATTCGAAATACGTCCATCATCCTGCTTCCTCAGGGCATTGTTGTCCTGGACGTCATTGAAATATTGGCCGGAAGTCAGTCTCCCTCTGGTCGACGGCGGAGAGGGCCCCCCCGCGCACATACACCAACGCACCGGGCAGTGGGAGCCACAGGCGGGGGCGCAACAGCGGACACTCACTATACTCTAGCTGTTTCACTTTACGATAGAGCGCAGAAGATGCTACGAGTGGTCGAAACCAATTCAGTACCGCCTGAGTGTCACATGACCTTTGGAAGGTGAGCAGCGACGCGCGGGCTTTCTGGCCACGTGATTCGTTCACATGGCTGGATTGGCTGGGATAACTCGTAGCACCTTCTGCGGTCCATCGCAAGGTAAAACGAAGTGTACTCTTACGTCGCTGCCTCACGTGCGCGCGCGCGCGAGCCACCTAGGCCACCATTGTGGACGTCTGCCCCCGCCTTCCCCCCAAGCGTCTGCCCCATCCGTCACAACTGCTGTTTATGAAATCATATCGGTGTAGATGGCACAACAACTCGCCGGACTCCTCCCTGTGCTCCCACCCACACCCGAAAAAACTTTTTTTTTTTATTTTGCCTGCGCGAAAGCGTCACGCTGAGTCCAATTCTTCCCAGTTTTTTGTGCATGCGTGTATATAAAAAATACGACCCTGCAGGAAGCATTCATATCTTTAACAATTTTTGTTATGCGTATTTTCTGGAGTCACCCTGTTGCCGTTCCCTCCTTCTGCTCGAGAGAGGCGTGTGCTCGGGCGTGAGCGAGTATGCATGCATGAACGTTGTTTTTTTGTTTTTTGTTTTTTTTTTTCTCGTAGGTTTTGTCATATTGGCCTGGTTTGTCGTTGTTGTCGCTTCTTGTTGTCGGCTTTTGACGGCCTTACGGGATTCTCTTTGTGCGCAGCAAAGCGGCTTATTTTTTTTTTATTTTTTTTTTTATTTTTGAATATTTTTAGGCTGCATATGCATAACGGAAGCGGCTGAGCTCGGAACGGTATGCAGCTTGGATGGCCTCCCGCCTTCTGGTTTTGGCTGGGGCTAGGTTTCTGTAAACAAGGGAGCAGGTGAGAGAGGAGTCGTTTTTCTAACGGCCTGTCTTGTGCGGTTAGGTTATAAAGTTCGACGTCTCTGTTCATAATCAACGCCGGTAGGTGAACCTCAAAGTTCTGCGAGGTGGATGGCGGTAAGTAGAATTAAGAATGAATAGTTCATGTAGTGCATAATCATGGAACTAAGGTAGTATTA